GTTTGATCGTGTGGTCAACCTGAGACTGCCAGGTACATAAACACACACTCCATGGTCACTTACCTCTCACCCTAACCATCACAGCCCTTCCCCTAATCCTGACCTGAACCCTAAGACCAAAATAGATAAGTAAATCAATGTCGTCACAGTGATGGCATCAAGGTGAAATGTGTCCTCACAACATAGACAGTCGTGTACACATGCTTGTTGGAAGTTTGAGTTGGACGATGTTTTCTGCTGATGCTTGTAATTTCCTTCAAAGTTTTATTAAAAATGTCATTTGGTTTTACAGTTGAATTAGTTGTGGTAAACTTGTTGGTTTCCAGAGATTTTCTTTAAATTTAACTCAAGTAAATATTCATTAATCACTGGAACCTTCATTCTCTGTGTGCATTGAATTAACTGTTTGCCTATAGATAGATTTTCACTGTTTTCCATATTTCGTTCAGCTCCAACTAAAAGATTCTCTGGTAAACCTTTACATTAATTGCAACTCATTCACTAGGTGACGTAAGTTTAGAGAAGAGAACCAGCCGAGCTCTGTCTCTGCACCGTGTAATTAGTGGAAGAACCACCATGAATGACGGTGTCCCACAAGGATCGATTAATAAAAGGTGCAGATGCCTTGCTGAGAAAGGTGTTCTTCTTCTCTGAATGTCAGCTGTTCATGGTGTTTTTGTGGACGTGGGAGTTTACACGACCAGAGGCCTCGGTAATACAGACGGAGATGTTTCATGTAAACCTGTGTAAAAGCACGTGGTCAGATCGATGATGGTGCTCTGCAGGTCAGCATGACTGAGCAGAAGACGGAGAGGAGGAAATATCCTGATGCATGAGATGTGTTCCTCCTCACTGACACACACTGCGATAGAGCTGCTCAGGTCTCTGCACGGCGACTGTGGTCACTGGGATAAAACACCAATTCAAACCTGAATGTCTCTGGAGTTGTGCACAGGTGTCCTGTTGTGTGTCAACATGAACAGAATCCAGTGTAAAGGATGCAGCCAGTGATTTAGTGTGTTTACTTGGGTTTGAAATGAAGCAAGTTTAAAGTGGAAGTTCATATTTTTCTTGAATTGGTCACCAATACAAATAAGTACTTACAGAAAACATCTGAAATGACTGTGGGAAACTACAGGCCTGTAAAATAAGGCAGTAAAACACCTTTGATGGAGTTTGTGTGTTTGTGCTGCAGGTCTGGAAAGCGTCGACCACTACCCCATCCTGGTGGCTGTCACAGGCATCCTGGTGCGAATCCTGTTGGATGGAGACAGACAGGGGTAAGGCGATGTCTGGTTCTGTGTTTGAGCTGGTTTCCTCCCAGTATGCACCTGGGCCATATGGTTTTGATCAGTTGTGCCTGGTTCTCACAGGTTCCCTGACTTGTTTACTAGTCAGTTCAGGAGTTTTTTTGTTGCAGGTGATTCTTAGACTATCGACATCAGTTTGCTTTGTGTTTAACCAGACAGGCTGTGGCTCCTGTTCACTGTGTGTCAAACCACGTTGTTAGTCCACTGAACTCCATCCATCCATTTTCTTCCGCTTATCCGGGACCGGGTCGCGGGGGCAGCAGTCTAAGCAAAGATGCCCAGACTTCCCTCTCTCCAGACACTTCCTCCAGCTCCTCCGGGGGAATGCTGAGGCGTTCCCAGGCCAGCCGAGAGACATAGTCCCTCCAGCGTGTCCTGGGTCTTCCCCGGGGCCTCCTCCCGGTGGGACATGTCCGGAACACCTCCCTAGGAAGGCGCCCAGGAGGCATCCGAAACAGATGCCTGAGCCACCTCAGCTGGCTCCTCTCGATGTGGAGGAGCAGCAGTTCTACTCTGAGCTCCTCCCGGGTGACCGAGCTCCTCACCCTATCGCTAAGGGTGCGCCTGGCCACCCTGCAGAGAAAGCTCATTTCGGCCGCCTGTATCCGGGATCTTGCCCTTTCGGTCATGACCCAAAGTTCATGACCATAGGTGAACTGAACAGAAGAATGCTGTGTGAGAAGGCATATATTTTAATCGTCATTCAGAAAGATGTCCCAGTCTGGTCTGCATGAGGATAATGAAACCACAGTGTAAACCAGTGGTTTAACGCCCTTTATAGAAACACAGCAGTTGAAACCAGTGTTTTCACCAGTGCTGTACTGGTGCAGGGGCTTTGAAACCATTGTGCTCACACATGATTTCTTCACTTTTGGCCTCATATCATTCAAACAACAAGCTGCTTCTGTGCTGTCACATACTCGGATACAAACAAAATGTTTAATTGAGCTCAGTCGAGTGTGTTAGTGTAATGCTGGGTTTCGTTTGGATGTAACTGAGGTGATGGAGGTGTCACCGCCATCCTACCACCTCTTTGGTGACACACATCCCGTTATTGTCAGAAGTTCCTAAATCTCAGTTACAGCTCAGATGTGAGTGACATAATTTCTTCTCCTGATTGTTTTGTAAAGTGCTGCGCTGTTCAGTGGTTGTTCGCAGTTTTAGTGCTCAAGTGTATGAAGGTTTAACACCATACTACACCTTTGCCTTTCATAGCTAATTAATAACTCCAAAATGTTTGAAGATGTCTGCTGTGAACTTCTTTCAGAACAGCAGTGAATGTGGACCAGATTGTCTTGAAAACTTCTAGTTTGTCCTTGAAAGTGATCCTGATTCTGTCAAGGTGGAGAATACCAGGCAGACTCTTTAGACAAGGCATGTTTATTTATGCAGCACATTGTTTACCCTGGTAATTATCCAAACATGGGGGCCCGCCACAGCAAAAGAATCAATCCAACCAATCAATCATTTAATCAATGGCTTCAGTGAGTCGCCTGGGAAGCCCGTAAAACGGCAGGTCGAGTCTCATACTCAGGTGACTCAGGTGCAGTTGAGGCCAGTTCAGACAGGGCATTGTTAAACACAACAGATGGAACTCCATTGTATGAAAAGCCTCCCCGACATGTGCGCGTGAGCTGCATATCACTCGTTTATGCTTCAGGTCTATCTTCTCTGGCGCACTGAGTGCAGCGTCATCTCCACACACTGCTGTTTAAATCACCCAATTCCCCAGTTATGTTCTGTTGCAAACTTTTTTTTTTTTTACTGGTGTTTGTTATGATTACGTGCACAAGACCTACATGAAAACTAATGATGGTCCGGCACATCACTGCTGTGGCTCGGTTGGCCCGGTGCGCCTGTCCGTCCGCTGTGCTCGCAGCTCGTCAGGAGCTGAGGACTGACAGCTGCTCTGATGCCAGACATCAGACATCACGTCTTGCTTTCAGTCGGGCTGTAGTTACGTTGCTGAGTGAAGCACCGAGCAGCAAACTGTTGAGGACTGCAGAGTATTTAACACAATGCATTCAATTAGATTAAAACATTAAAAGCAACAACTACACAACAGCAGCAAGTCACGGCATGCAGCTGTAGATACCTAGCACCTTAGTATCTGGTGCTTTGGGATAGCTGTAGCAGGTTGTCACCGTTGTCAGTGCACTTTGTTCCCCTGTACTTCCCCAGACTAAGCTCCGAGTACTTTAACATCAGAGGTGGGTGTAGATGCTTCCAGAAAATTGAATGAGTCAGTTAAACAGCACAGTGAAGTCAGCTCGTCGTACAGTAATGACAGAAAGATAAAAGCAGATGAACAGAATTAAGATCCATTAGTTTAAAGCAGTGTTAAAAAGAACGGTCTTGAGTTTTAAGATGGCGACAGTTGAGCCAGGATGTACAGGAGCTTTGTCCATTGGTGTTTCCTGCGGTGCATACAGTAGTCTGAGGATGATGAGCGCTCTGGAAAAGATACTGACGGTGTCCTCCCAACACTTCAGAGCAGCTTCTGTCCTGACACCTCAGGAAAGGCGCTGTGGTGTTTCCTCTGTGAGCGATGGCACCTGTACTGCTTCATTGTCTGGCCGTTTCAGGACATCGTCCCGGCATCTTCAGAGGTCTCATCTTTTCCCGTGTTTGTTAATGGGCTCAGTGGACCGTCTCACGTGTAAGAAAGAATATCAGATGTTTGCTGTCAGTGAATTGATTCAGAATCATAAAATAAGATCCTGATTCTTGTGTGGATTAACTTCCCAAAGTTGTCTTTGTTCAGTCCTCTGTACCGACATGTACCTCTTCTGCTCCTCGAAGGGAAACACTGGCTCACTGTCCTGACATGAGATCAGTGCATGAAGCCGATGTGGAGGCATTCTCTAACTACCAGGGAGGAGTAGGTTGAACTGCTGGCACTCTGCATCAGGCTGCTTTACAAACCTCATTCGTCTGAAGATATGTGAGGATTCGGTGGCCACTCTGAAAAACATGCTAATTAGGGAAACCATCAGACCTCCAGTCGTGTAAATCATCCGTGACCGTTGTGCCACCAGCGCTCTCGACTTTTCATCAACATCTGATGGAGCTTTAAATAAGACGTCTTTCCTCCGGTGATGGATCCAAACTCATTACGTCTCAATAACTCTGAGCAATGTGCTCGGCTGACAGTTGGTGGAGAGCAGAAATCAGCTGGCTTAAATTGTGTTTGGAACCCCCAGGCCACGTGTACTTTACAGCATGTGCACGTCATGGTGCTGTCTGCTGTGTTTCTGCGTTACGTTTCTTGATGTGGCCCAAGGCTGTTTGTGTGCTTTTAACGAGATAACTGAATTTCAGTCGCACACAGAAGTCGTTCTCTGAAGATTCACATTTCACTGCTTCGCTTCCCTCTAGTTTCTACAGTCAAACGCTGGCCGGAGACTTTTGACCTTAGCGAGGCCTTAGAGCCAGGCCTTTGTTTCCAATGTTACAGTGCTTTGCCGAGTATTAGTCGCGCTTTGCAAAACGGTGTTGTTGAAAGGAAGTTGCTTCTGTGTGGAAGCCACCATTGCGTCTGCTGTGCCCAGGAGATCGTCCTCTGCCAGCAGCTGTTTGAGGACACATTTGTGTCCAGGATTAGCCTTCTTTGTTTTTGTCATAGCACCAAGAGCAGCCTCTGCTTTGTTTGTTCCCTCACTCTGAACCTTCTGTGATCTGCAGTTTAGGTTCTGCAGTGTTTCTTCATTTTGTTTGTGTCTACTGTTAGACTCATATTTCAGTTTAGTGTAAATATAAACCTTTCTCTCGAATCTCTGGGAAAGGTTTTTGCTAAATTTGGACAAAACCTTGACTCAGTTTGTTCACCAGAGAGCACTGAAGCATTTAGTCTTGAGCTATAAAATGTCCCAAATACAACAAATATTGTACCAATATCAGTTTTTTACCCTCAGAAATCTAAATCAGTATCGGCCTTAGAGAGGCCAATGCTGTTCAGGCTGTATCCAAAACACTGGTTTGTAAAAGACACAAGAAGAACCTTCCAGGTCCAGGTTCTGTGCAGAACCAGGCTACAGGTCTGGGATAACTAAAAGGGACCCAGTCAGGTTTACACTGTGGGTTTTTCCGCTCTGTGACCCAGGGTGTTGATGGGCTGCAGTGTGGAGGAAATTCAGTCAGCAGATGATAAAAAGCTGCGGCAGATGCCACACAGACCCCCGACCAGCTGACAAGACTGAGATCCAGAGAATTAATCTCTTTACTCATCTGTTTTGGCATCATCTGGTCTCACTCTGGCTCTGCGAAGTACGCTGCTATCTACAGCTGCGGGATTCTCACCTAAATAGAAATCATCCTTATTTTGATTAGAGTGAAGGTTTCTGTTGAGTCGAGATGTCCCGAGATGTTTCTTCCGATTAGTATCAGCTACATGAACCCGATCAAACCTCCAAACGTTCCTGTGTTTGGTCCCCGCAGCCTGCTCCTCATCACATCACACTCTCCACTCAGAACAGGTCAGCTGTTTAAACGGATCACGTTAATAGTCTTGAATGAGGACCGTCAGTGTTTGGATCAAGTAGCTTGTGAGAAACTGTCAGATTAAGAAGGTGCAGACTGATTAATTTAAGTAAATTAGTCGTTAATAGTCTTGAATGAGGACCGTCGGTGTTTGGATCAAGCAGCTTGTAAGAAACTGTCAGATTAAGAAGGTGCAGCTGTTACTTCACTGCGTCTGACGCAGACTGATTAATTTAAGTAAATTAGTGGAAAGTAGCGGTCTGCGATGGGATTCATTTTGGGGGGTAACAGGGCAGATATTTTCCTTTTATTTTGACTCTGTGATGCCCAGAGGCTTAACGATGCACAGCAGGCGATAGGGGCCACCTGGAGGCATGACCTCTCTGGTATTCATGCGTTGTTTGCCGATTACTGTACCTCGTGGACTGTTTGTTCTCCATCACTGCTGTGTACGTGTTTCTGGGCCTGCACTCACATTGACGGCTGCTGCATCTG